AATATGAATTCTACAAATTAACATCAATTAGCTCTAAATTCCGTTCTCAGAACATGAAGAAAACCTTCCATAAAAACCACAAAACTTTAGTTGAAGCTCTTTTTTTATTTTATTACCCCAGCCATTATCACATTGGTTGCCGTAGCTTCATTCACCTCAGTCGATCTACTATCACATAGCCTATTAGCTATACAATTAGCCACTACACATTAACTCATTAACTCTGCACCGGAATTAAAAACGATAATTTCATACATACAGAGTGATATTGCCATGGGTTGGGGAGACATCTTTGCAGTTTTTAAAGCAAATTTCCTGCAATTATACACATTTTGCCATGACTTATGCTATGTTAATATGATATCTGAGTGAGAGTGACAAGCGAAAGTAATGGGGGACCCCTGGATGTCAGGGCCCCTGGGCACGTGCCCTGCGTGCCTGGTCGGTTGTTCGGCCATGATTACTACAAGTTTAGATAGCTGGCTAGTCTAACTAGTCTAATTTACTGATTTAAAACATTTGAACTGACATGGGCTAATTGAGTGACTATCAGTGAGTGACATATATAACAAGAGGAAAACTGCTGATGCACAACCAAGTTTCAAAATTGCACCTTGTGTATTCTATTATTCTTATTCTCAACAGTAAGTTGAGACCCCGACTGAGCACATACACAGCTTGAAAAACCCAGCAGCGTTGCAGTTCTTGACACACACCGGTGCGCCTGGCACCTACTACCATACCCCATTCAAAGGCACTTAAATATTTTGTCTTGCCCATTCACCCTCTGAATAGCACATATACAGTTGAAGTCGGAAGTTTACATAGACCTTAGCCAAATACATTTAAACTCAGTTTTTCACAATTACTGACATTTAATCCTAGTAAAAATTCCCTGTCTTAGGTCAGTTAGGATCACCACTTTATTTTAAGAATGTGAAATGTCAGAATAATAGTAGAGAGAATGATTTATTTCAGCTTTTATTTCTTTCATCACATTCCCAGTGGGTCAGAAGTTTACATACACTCAATTAGTATTTGGTAGCATTGCCTTTTAAATTGTTTAACTTGGGTCAAACGTTTCGGGTAGCCTTCCACAATAAGTTGGGTGAATTTTGGCCCATTCCTCCTGACAGAGCTGGTGTAACTGAGTCAGGTTTGTAGGCCTCCTTGCTCGCACACGCTTTTTCAGTTCTGCTCACACATTTTCTATAGGATTGAGGTCAGGGCTTTGTGATGGCCACTCCGATACCTTGACTTTGTTGTCCTTAAGCCATTTTGCCACTACTTTGGAAGTATGCTTGGAGTCATTATCCATTTAGAAGACCCATTTACGACCAAGCTTTAACTTCCTGACTGATGTCTTGAGATGTTGCTTCAATAGATCCACATCATTTTCCTTCATCATGATGCCATTTATTTTCTGAAGTGCACCAGTCCCTCCTGCAGCAAAGCACCCCCGCAGCATGATACTGCCACCCCCGTGCTTCATGGTTGGGATGGTGTTCTTCTGCTTGCAAGCTTCCCCCTTTTTCCTCGAAACATAACGATGGTCATTATGGCCAACAGTTCTTTTTTTGTTTATCAGACCAGAGGACATTTCTCCAAAAAGTAAGATCTTTGTCCCCAAAACATAGTCTGTCTTTTTTATGGCGGTTTTGGAGCAGTGGCTTCTTCCTTGCTGAGCAGCCTTTCAGGTTGTCAATATAGGACTCGTTTTACTGTAGATAATAGATACTTTTGTACCTGTTTCCTCCATCTTCACAAGGTCCTTTGCTGTTGTTCTGGGATTGATTTGCACTTTTCGCACCAAAGTACGTTCATCTCTAGGAGACAGAACGCATCTCCTTCCTGAGCGGTATGACGGCTGCATGGTCCCTTGGTGTTTATACTTGCATACTATTGTTTGTACAGATGAAAGTGATACCTTCATGCGTTTTGGAAATTGCTCCCAAGGATGAACCAGTTACAAAAAAAATCTGAGGTCTTGGCTGATTTTCTTTCGATTTTCCCATGATGTCAATCAAAGAGGCACTGAGTTTGAAGGTAGGCCTTGAAATACATCCACAGGTACACCTCAATTGACTCAAATTATGTCAATTAGCCTATCAGAAGCTTCTAAAGCCATGACATAATTTTCTGGAATTTTTCCAAGCTGTTTAAAGGCACAGTCAACTTAGTGTATGTAAACTTCTGACCCACTGGAATTGTGATACAGTGAATTATAAGTGAAATAATCTGTCTGTAAACAATTGTTGGAAAAATTACTTGTGTCATGCACAAAGTAGATGTCCTAACCGACTTGCCAAAACTATAGTTTGTTAACAAGAAATTTGTGGAGTGATTGAAAAACAAGTTTTAATGACTCCAACCTAATTGTATGTAAACTTCCGACTTCAACTGTACATGATCCATGTCTCAATTGTCTCAAGGCTTAAAAATACTTTTTTAACTGGTCACCTCCCCTTCATCTACACGGATTGAAGTAGATTTAACAAATTACATCAATAAGGGATCATAGCTTTCACTTGGATTCACCTGGTCAGTCTGTCATGGAAAGTACAGGTGTTCGTAATGTGTTGTAGACTCAGTGTATGTATTTTTTTTATTCTGAAAAATTACTGAGTTCTGGACCTCGGTGTCCTCATACTGTGCATTCGTAAAGTATTCAGACCACTTGACTTTTTCCACATTTTGTTACATTACAGCCTTATCCTAAAATTGATTAAATTGTTTTTTTCCCTCATTAATATACCCACAATACCCCATAATGACAAAGTAAAAATAGGTTTTTAGAAATTTTTGCAAATGTATTAAAAATGTAAAAAACATACTGTATTTACATAAGTATACAGACTCTTTACTCAGTACTTTGTTGAAGCACCTTTGGCAGTGATTACAGCCTCAAGTCTTCTTGTGTATGACGCTACAAGCTTGGCACACCTGTATTTGGGGAGTTTCTCCCATTCTTCTTGTCCCGAAGCCACTCCTGCATTGTCTTGGCTGTGTGCTTAGGGTCATTGTCCTGTTGGAAGGTGAACCTTCGCCCCAGTCTGAGGTCCTGAGCGCTCGGCAGCAGGTTTTCATCAAGGATCTCTCTATACTTTGCTCCGTTCATCTTTCCCTCGATCCTGACTAGTCTTCCAGTCCCTGCTGCTGAAATACATCCCCACAGCATGATGCTGCCACCACCATGCTTCACCGTAGGGATGGTGCCAGGTTTCCTCCAGACGTGACACTTGGCATTCAGGCAAAAGAGTTCAATCTTGGTTTCATCAGACCAGAGAATCTTGTTTCTCATGGTCAGAGTCCTTTAGGTGCCTTTTGGCAAACTCCAAGCGGGCTGTAATGTGCCTTTTACTGAGGAGTGGCTTCCGACTGGCCACTCTACCATAAAGGCCTGATTGGTGGAGTGCTGCAGAGATGGTTGTCCTTCTGGAAGGTTCTCCCATTTCCACAGAGGAACTCTGGAGCTCTGTCAGCGTGACCATCGGGTTCTTGGTCACCCCCCTGACCAAGGCCCTTGTCCCCTGATTGGGCAGTTTGGCCGGGCGGCCAGCTCTAGGAAGAGTCTTGGTGGTTCCAGACTTCTTCCATTTAAGAATGATGGAGGCCACTGTGTTCTTGGGGACCTTAAATGCTGCCCTTCCCCAGATCTGTGCCTCGACACAATCCTGTCTCAGAGCTCTACGGACAATTCCTTTGACCTCATGGCTTGGTTTTTGCTCTGACATGCACTGTCAACTGTGGGACCTTATATAGACAGGTGTGTGCCTTTTCAAATCATGTCCAATCAATTTAATTTACCACAGGTGGACTCCAATCAAGTTGTAGAAACATCTCAAGGACGATCAATGGAAACAGGATGTACCTTAGCTCAATTTCGAGTCTCATAGCAAAGGGTCTGAATACTTATGTAAATAAGGTATGTTTAAAAAAGAAATTAGCAAACATTTCTAAAAACCTGTTTTCGCTTTGTCATTATGGGGTATTGTGTGTAGATTCATCAAAATATATATATTTAATCCATTTTAGAATAAGGCTGTAATGTAACAAAATGTGGAAAAAGTCAAGGGGTCTAAATACTTTCCGAATGCACTGTATGTAGCTACTGCCCTGACTTTCAGAAAATGTTCTCAGAGCGTTAATCAAATCACCTATAATTTCCATTCTCAGTGTTAATAAAACCTCCCAGGAAATTGTTCAGGGAACCAGAGTAAAACGTTCTCAGAACCTCCCTGCAACCTAAAAATAAACATTCCCAGAACAGGCAACATTTTTACTTCTGTTCTCAGAATGTTTAAAAAAACTTTCAGAAACCAAAATATATGTTCCAAGGAACCAAATGTGCTAGCTGGGTTGTTATTTTGACCCTATTTGGTTTGTTATGAGTGAAATGCTCATTGTATTTATTTTGACAGCGAGTCAATGCTGAGACCAAACTCTCTTTTCCAAATGCGCCCTGTATATCACAACAATACACATCAAAATACAATATACACATTAAACTGCATATCCATTTACACATTAAAATACACATTATTATACACAACAGTACATACAGTATGATGACCATTGTGCATTGTAAACATTTTCTTTTTGGACAGCCCAACAGAGTAGCTTAAATCTTAGGTTATTGAAACACCTTTCACATGATAATGATTAGCAAAAAAATCTGGATTTATTCATAGTTCAATTTACTTGGTGACCAGAAATATGTGTATGTGAATGTAAATTCTGAGAGAAATTAGTTTTTGATTACACTGAGTCTTAGTTTGTATAATTTGTAAAGCGAGCACATTTTGTTGCTATTTGTTGTACATTTTGTATAGCATACCAGTGTATTTAAATGTAAATAATGTATGTTTGAATGATAAATGTATTCAAACACTCAACATGATTTTACGGTTTCACCAACATACTTTCCCACAGGGGTACCTTATCATACATAAAATATATATATTTGACAAGTTATGGAACTGCTAACATCTAGAGAAAATATGGCTGGTAATAGATTTGAGGCAGAGGCGTGAGGTGAGCAGGTGTGTGTATGAGCGCGTACGTCTCGCTCTTACAGACACATCAGTCAGTCTGTACTCCCAATGTTGCTTAATGACACACAGCCAGGCAGACCTTCAACTGTCCTCTGTGTGTGTGTTGTGTTTCAGCCTACTCTGCACAGATGGGTCTGATTGAGACAACGCGGGGGCTGCTCCCAGGCGCGGGTAAGACAACCAGAAGTCATATGCACACAAACACAAACACACACCAGTTACCCTCATGTCTTCTCATGGTTTGTTTGGCATAATGAGTTCAACCTCTTTCCCTCTCTACGTCCTTTCTCCTATAGGGGGCAGTCAGAGGCTGCCCAGAGCAGTGGGATTTGCCCTGGCCAAAGAGCTGATCTTCACCGGCAGGAAAGTGGATGGACAGAGGGCTGTGGACATAGGGCTGGTCAACAGAGCTACGGAGCAGAATCCAGACGGAGACGCTGCCTATAGAGAGGCACTGAGTCTGGCTAGAGAGATCCTACCACAGGTTACACAAACACAAAAAAATCGTACTCATTGTTTCTTTCCATTCCATAGTGATGAGTGATTGATAGGTGGTTAGATTAAATGAGTTACAAGGGATGAGGGGAAGAGAGATTAACACATTGACTGATTGCTTGGGTTTCAATGAACACAAACACACACACTGACTGACACTGGGGTTACATAGACAGCTGCTGTCTCTCTGATCTCATCCAGTCAGTTAGTACACTGTCACCAGACCAGTCATACCAAACCAGGACACCAACTGACCACTGTAAGGGACATGGACAACACAGTGTTTGAAACTGGGTCATCTGCTGAGCTAAAGCCTTGGCATTATCTCAGGGAGCTAACACAAGTTCAGGTCTTAGACATGATTACTCATCCTTCTCACCCCCAGTGTGTTCTCTCTCCAGGCTCCCATCGCTGTGAGGATGGCCAAGGAGGCTATGAACAGAGGCATGGAGGTATGGCTGATTTACTACAGAACCTTTACACATGTTCTCATGGCCGGACCACCACATCTGGGGCGCGGCTAACTTCCTGCAATTCTACACATTTTTTCCATGGGGCAGAGAGGAAAATGTGCAGTTTTATAGCTAATCGCATGCTATTCTACAGTTTGCCACGAGGCGGAGAGAAAATGTTGCATTTTTAAAGCTATTTTCCTGCAATCCTACACATTTTGCCATTTCCTTACGATGTGTTCATATGCTATCTGGGACACACACACATCCCAGCTCACACACTCAGTTCATTATCTCCATGTATTTGAATGATGACACCTGTCTCTGTGTGCTAGTAGTAGGTATGTCTGTAACCTGTCTGTCTCGCTCAGGTGGACATCACATCAGGGATGGCCATAGAGAGGATGTGTTACGCCAGGGTAAGAAGTCAAATGCTCATGTGCATTGTCTGAGGTCAAACTGTAGTGGTTAATCATCTTTCTCTCGCTCTCTCCAGGTGATCCCGACAAGAGACAGACAGGAGGGGATGGCTGCCTTTATAGAGAAGAGACCCCCACGCTACACTGGAGAGTAACACACATGGAGACTGCTGTTGCGTGATTGTACACAAACCTAATTTTCATTCCTTTAATAAATGTTTTTTTAACTGCAGTTGTAATATATTTTAGCAGATGGATCATGGATGAGTGTTTGAGATAAAGGTATATAGTAAAACTGATACAGTACTAGTTTACAGCCGATGGGGGTGTACATTCTTTATTTCAGAAACATGAAAACATGACCCTCAGCAGCAACATATGCAAATATATTCCCCTTAGATCCACCCAGTTTCATGAAATACCCATACTGAAAGAAGAAACCGACTGTCACATTAGGGGAATGTACAGACAAGACTAAACTTTCCCACAGCTTCAATCACAGTGAGGATGAAAACTCACATTTCATATTCTGTCAGTATAATGTAGATTAGAATACTGACTTTAGTTTACAGTTTAGTTTCTTCTGTACATTGCCCTTGATGCCATTGAGGGATAGTATGACCCATGCAGCAGTAGCAAGCACATACAATGTGTAGGCTGATTGAAATCAAGCATGTTGAGATTTGCCAGCAGCAATGTAATGTAACGTCAGTCTCAGTTGCATAGAGAATGGAGACAGGAGCAGTAGCCTATAGCATTATAATCACAACCAGGATCACGCTCAGGAGGGTGCAATGTACAGAACGTTGCAAATAGAATTGCCATGAATAGAGCTGACATGATTCCTTTACTCTCCATGTCAGAAGCATGTGTGTTACACACAGTGTATTTCTGATTCAGAATGTTCCACAACGTTGTGCCTACTGAACAAGGCCCTGATGGGAGAGCGCAATCAAGATACAATTCCAAATTGACTGAAGCCTTCTATACACTTCTTGTGTACATCTGAAAGGACTGTATAGGGTTAAGCAATATGGCAAAAATCCAGAGAGCAAGGTGGGGAAACTGACATTTTGCTTACACCTATTCAATTCTTCTAAATTAAGTGCCTAAAGGGTAGAGGCTAAGGGTCGATTTGGGATTGAGCTACTCTCTCTGCTGCAGAATTTCCCCCTCAGTTTCGACTTCTTTGTTCTATTTAGTACCTCATTTGGAAATAAACCAATTAAAAACATGTATTATATTGTTTCCGTGCAACACTTTAAACATATCGTTATAACGACTGTAGTTTCTCATCTCCCCCAATCCAGATATATACAGCATGTACAAAATAGAATCCTCACACTCAGCCCCATACATGCTCCTGAATGTACTGACACTAGTACAACCAGCATCAAACACACACACACCTATACACTGATCCACGCACACAAGCGCACACAAGCACACACAGAACCACTACCAACATACAGAAATATACAGAACTCTTCATACTGTATAATGTCGTATTCTATCTTAATATTGACCAATATATTTGCCATTTGTGTCCACAGGGGAAACCATATTTACTTTCCCAACAGAATTAATATTAACAGAAATCAGAACTCAAATTCTGGAGGTCCACAGTACTGCTGATTTTCATCACCTAACCCTCTAATCAGGGACTGATTCAGACCTGGGATCCCAGGTGTGTGGACTCTGTGGCTTTTCAATTGATTCATACATTTACATGAATCAATTAAACTACCAGACTGAAAAGAAGTGCGCACTATGTCCTGCTACAAACTCACTGGTGTCCAAATAATAGACCTAAGCATCTGGGAAAATCTAAACATAATTCGGACAAACTCAAGCATGCTGGGAAATCACACTGTCATGCGCATATATTAGGTAATCAGCCAATAAGAGGAGCTGACTCTCTCAACCCCACAACTGAGGAGGGGGCCTTACTACTATTAGCCCATACAAACGCATTGAATAACAGATTCACTACATGGAACAACAGATAAAAAATCTAAAGGAAGTTTGTTCTGAAGTGTCTATCCTATATCTGAGAGATATAAGAAAGATCAGTAGACAATTTTTTTTGTGTGACATGTATTTAACCCCTTATTGTTGTCACCAAACAGTCTCCATATATACTTCCATACATTTTTTAAACTGGTACCGGGGGACCTTCAGACGAGTCTTGTGAGGCTGTGGGCATCCTAGAACAAAACAACCGACATGTACGTGTTTGTGAGAGTCTCACCTTTACTCAGATGGGTCATATTAGTGTGTAGGCCAAACTGTTCGGACGCTACAGACAGAAGTTGGCAGATCGGCTGTACCGACTTGTTCCAAGATGCTTGTGGGGGTCGTAGTGCAAAACAGAGAACACCATCGTATTCGTGAGAGTCTCTTCTTTCCATAGAGGTGTCATAATAGTTTTGTAGGCCAAACCGTTCGGACGCTACAGACGATTTTGTGAGAAGACCGATTTTCGGGATGTCTCATGGTCTGACAAACACTGCTCTAGCTCTGTCACCTTTCACCGCAGATGCAGAAGTGTTACATAGGTGGATGCGGTGGATTGAGACGCATCCAATGCAAAACATAGATATCTCTAGCTTAAACTGACAGATTTTTATGGGGATTTTCTACTTATGCTAATTTGATTTACTTGGGGGCACGGACATCGACCTTAGGGTTTATAACCAACAATTCATTATTTTCTTAGCAATTTCTTTTTAGAATCACAATTTGCTTTTCAGTAGCACACATAAGTAGCCACATAGTACTTTTGCTTACCAAACACAAGAAAACATAGCAAGGTGTGTGTGCAAAGAAATGCATAGTTTCTGTTCTCTCATTCACTTTATAGCGCCACCTTCAGACAGGATGGGGGGGTGACATGGTGTCTGTCCTCACCCCTGTCTAATGAATGCACACTAGTTACAGCGCCACCAAGCTCGCACAGGGCAACCTCACACACACACACACACACACACTCAATGGCCTCTTGTCCTGACGGTAGCGGTGGGATAGGTTCTGATCAGGGCTTGTCACCCTCTGGAGGAGGAAAACAGAACATTTTTAACATTACTTTTCTGTTCTGAAATCACACACTTCAAATCATTTTGTGTGTGTGTGTGTGTGTGTCTCACCTTTGTGTGTGTGGGGTTGTAGCGGGCAGCGGGTGTGCGTGTGTGTGATCTGCCCAGTGCGGGCTTGGTGGCGCTGCAGGCTCGCCAGAATGCTCTCGGCCAATCGCATGACGTCTGCGTGGGTGTCGGGGTGTGTCTGGACCTTCTCCAGCTGATGCAGACCTCCCTCCTCCAACAGCATACTGCAGTACCGAGGGGCTGTGGGAGTTCAGAGAGATTTTCCTCAGATCAATTATATAAACTTTAAGATAGTGGTGTATGTGTGTTTCACCATTCTAAACTGGAGACAGGCAGATAGGGAGATGTGTGTGTCTCACCGTTCTTGCTGCAGACATGCTGCATGGCCCAGGCCGCCCACAGCTGAACTCCTGGAGTGTGGAAACACTCCAACAGGGGGAAGAAAGGGTTAAAGGACCTACAGAGGAGGGGAAAGAGGGATGAGAGGTGGAGGAGAGAGGAGAGCATTAACACTCCGGCTGCATCTCAATACTTTACAGTGTCTTCCTCTCCTTGTGCGAGTGCATGGGGTTATAAAGGTGTGTTCTGGGGTCTCACCTGTAGGCCACCATCTCACACGCTGGTGTAGGCCACTTCAGGATGGTAGAGTGCTGGAGGAGAGAGAGACACAGAACATGAGCCACATTTATGAACACATGCAGGAGGTGGGATAACATTACAACTCACTTTGACAACACGCACACACTTCCCCCCACGTACCAGTTGTTCTAGCAGGTCAGACCTCAGTGTGATACTGAGTGTCCATGCAGCCTCTCCTCTGGAGGTGAGATGGGCCAGTATCCCAGCAGCGAAGTAGGACACCTCCACCTCAGGGCTGTGGAGCAGGGAGCAGATGTGATCCAGGAAGCCCTGAACCATCAGCTCCATATGCAGCTCCCCAACCTCTGCTATGTTATTCTAAGGAGAGACAGAGCCACAAACTCAGCTCCTCCACTGTTCTACACCACTTCAAACAGGATGATTCAAACACTAAAACAACGGTTTTGTCAGTACAGCTTCAGCTGAATTCACTACGACCCTGTCCAGAAACAACCCCCTATGCACTCTGGCCACCTAGGGCTACCAGGGTTGGATGACCACTAGAATAAATACACTGATTCATCCCGGGTTCACTATGACTCACCAGCAGCCCCAACACCTTCTGTTGGATGGAAGACTCAGAGGGGAACGACTGCAGAGAGAAAGAAAGATAGAGGCATGAATGAGTCAGCTTGCACTTTAGGGTGACAGAGAGAGAGAGTGTAACTAGTAGATAAACAGCTCTTGGGTCTGTGAGTGTGTTACTGTGTGTGTTTTTTCACCCGCAATTGCTAATGACCCATCCGCAACCGCCCGACTATACACTGAGCGTACAAAACATTAAGGATATCCATAACATAGACTGACCAGGTGAAAGCTATAATCCCTTATTGATGTTACTTGTTAAATCCACTTCAATCAGTGTAGATGAAGGGGAGGGGACAGGTTAAAGAAGGATTTTTAAGCCTCGAGACAATTGAGACATGGATTGTGTATGTGTGCCATTCAGAGGGTGAATGGGCAAGACAAAATATTTAAGTGCCTTTGAACGGGGTATGGTAGTAGGTGCCAGGTGCACCGGTTTGTGTCAAGAACTGCAACGCTGCTGGGTTTTTCACGCTCAACAGTTTCTCATGTGTATCAAGAATGATCCACCACCCAAAGGACATCCAGCCAACTTGACACACTGTGGGAAGCATTGGAGTCAACATGGACGAGCATCCCTGTGGAATGCTTTCAACACCTTGTAGAGTCCATGCCCCGACGAATTGAGGCTGTTTGAGGGAAAAGGGGAGGGTGCAACTCAATATTAGGAAGGTGTCCTTAATGTTTTGTATACTCAGTGTATGTGATAAAGTGAAAATCCCGCTAATATAGAAAATGCGCTGCTACAGTCAGAGATGGCGTAACGATGTTTTGACAGGGGGTGAAGGATTTTTTTGGCCTGATTTAGATGTGTTTCTGCTTATAAT